CACCTGAGCTGTATTTGTAAGATATATAGATCTATTTTTAGGTTTCATAAAGCAACTTGACTTATAAATCACTTAGAAGTGAAGGAATAATCTTAACACTTAAAGCAAAGTCTGGCTGGGTGAGAATGCTAAATTATGAAGAATTTTTTCTATTTGTTTAACAACTGCATTAACCCCAAGTAAATGTTCTTCATACCTTTGAAATGTTAAGTTTCTGTGAAACTCGCCCTAAACAAAAGGCTGAAGTTCATATACAATTTGATAATATAGATATATTCAGCATGGTCTTTGTGAGTTAATGTTTCTGTTGGCATTATAGTAATTGCACAGTCATCTGCCTATTCAGCATATTTCAACTTTTGTGTTTTTTTTCGGTGAGGAAGATTGTCCCTGAGCTAACATCTGTTGCCAATCTTCCTCTTTTTGCTTGAGGAAGATTGTCCCTGAGCTAACATCTGTGCCAGTCTTCCTCTATTTTGTATGTGGGACACTGCCACAGCATGGCTTGATGAGCAGTATGTAGGTCTGTGCCCGGGATCCGAACCCACGAACCCCAGGCCACCAAAGCGGAGTGTGCAAACTTAACTACTATGCCACCAGGCTGGCCCCTTGTACTTTTTTTTTTTTTTTTTTTAAACAAATTCCCTGGAATTTTATCAAAGAGAGAACCATAGTATTCTGTCACCTTACAAAAGTTCTTTTGATTTCTTGAGGTAAGGAAGTCCATGATAACTGCTGTATCCAATATATTTTATTATTAATTATTAATCTTAAAGAATGCCAACCCATGTAATTTGTTAATCTTTTGTAATTGATATTTCATTGGTATTTGTACTCTTTGGTCTCCAACCTCAGGAATGCGTGATGATGTTCTTAAATAGTTGCACATTTTAAATAAAATATCACATTTATGAAATTGTCCCTCACCCTTTTCTTTGCAGCTGTTCATCTCAGCATTGCATCCAGAATCCCAGTAGAAGTTGAGGGTGAAAATTGAGAGTGCAATTCCAGCCCTGATAATTCTAGGTGTTATTTTTTTAAATCTAGCTCTTTCTGCTTTAACTAGCCTCTTAGTCTTAAGATCTTGTAGATTCTTGAAACAGGAATTGAGTTGTTTTAACTTCATTTCCCCTTTAGAGACCCCTTCATGCTGTAATTTGTGTTCTGTGATTTTTATTATGGCTTTGTCTTTAATTATATCTAATTTAGTGGCTGTTTTTTTGTTTTTTTTGGTGAGGAAGATTGGCCCTGAGCTAACATCTGTTGCCAATCTTTCTCTTTTTGCTTGAGGAAGGTTGGCCTCGAGCTAACGTCTGTGATTGGCTGTTATTTTTATAGATTAAAATCTAATCTGGGTTCTTAGCATTTTATAGTTACCTCTGTGAATTATATCATACCTTATAGTAAAGTTTCAAATTAAAAAACAAAAAAGAAAATCTTGAGTTAAAAAAAAGTGTTGATTCAGATTGTTTTCTTTAATTATACAGGCGTTATCTTTTACCCACATTAAATCTATTCCTGAAAATATTTTGGATAGCAGATTTTTAGATATTGGAGCCTATATTATATTATTTTAAATGGGAAAAAACAATGATGCATTCTCTGTCTATTCCAAAACCCTAACTAAACTTCCACAAATATCACTAAAGCAGTTTTTTAAAAAAATTATTTTATTGATGTCATATTGGCTTATAACTTTGTGTAATTTCAGGTGTATGTTATTATATATCAGTTTCTGTATAAACTGTATCGTGTTCACCACCAATAGTCTAGTTTTTATCCATCATCATACATGTGTGCCTGTTTATCCCTTTTGCCCCTCCCCCACCCTTCCCCTCTGGTAACCACTAATCTGTTCTCTTTATCCATGTGTTTGTTTATCTTCCACATATGAGTGAAATCATATAGTGTTTGTCTTTGTCTGGCTCATTTCGCTTAGCATAACACCCTCAAGGTCCATCCATGTTGTTACAAATGGTATGATTTTGTCTTTTTTAATGGCTGAGTAGTATTCCATTATATACATATACCACATCTTCTTTATCCATTCATCTGTAGATGGGCACTTGAGTTGCTTCCACGTCTTGGCTATTGTGAATAATGCTATGATGAACATAGGAATGCTTGAATCTCTTTGAATTGTTGATTTCATGTTCTTCAGATAAATAGCCAGTAGTGGGATAGCTGGATCCTATGGTATTTCTATTTTTAATTTTTTGAGAAATCTCCATACTCTTTTCCATAGTGGCTGCACCAGTTTGCATTCCCACCAGCAGTGTCTGAGGGTTCCCTTTCCTCCACATCCTCTCCAACATTTATTTCTTATCTTGTTAATTACAGCTATTCTGATGAGTGTAAGATGATATCTCATTGTAGTTTTGATTTGCATTTCCCTAATACTTAGTGATGTTGAACGTCTTTCCATGTGCTTGTTGGCCATCTGTATATCTTCTTTGGAAAAATGTCTGTTCATATCCTCTGCACATTTTTTGATCAGGTTGTTTGTTTTTTTGTTGTTGAGTTGTAGAGTCCTTTATGTGTTTTGGAAATTAACCCCTTGTTAGATATATGATTTGCAAATATTTTCTCCCAGTTGGTGTCTTTTCGTTTTGTTCATGGTTTCCTTTGCCTTGCAGAAGGTTTTTAGTCTGATGTAGTACCATTTGTTTATTTTATCTTTTGTTCCCCTTGCCTGAGTAGACATTCACAAAGATACTGCCAAGACTGATGTTAAGAGTGTACTGCCTATATTTTCTTCTAAGAGGTGTGTGGTTTCAAGTGTTACATTCAAGTCTTTAATTCATTTTGTTAATTTTTGTGTACGGTGTACTAAAACATTTTTAAACACCTGTATAACAATCCAGCAAAGCTTTGTATAATATTTATTGCAAGCATTTGAAACACCCTTACCTAATTTTTATAATACTTAATGAACTCATTATTGGGTATATTTTGTTTAATAACAATGAAACTGTACAGTATTGATTATGAATTAGATTTTTCTTCTACCCAGCAATGAACAAATACTGTAATATAAGTAAAAAATAATATGATTCTGTCTAAATTGGCCTCAGGTTGGTGGGGCTCCTAAAATGCCTAGCAGAAGCAATTTCTGGGACTAGAGATTCTTCTGTGTTATCCCTGTAAATATCTTTCAGGTTTTGTTCTTTGATCACAAAGGTTACCCCTTTCCTCAGCATTTATTTTTGGCAAGGCAAAACAGGGACTTTTTGGTTTGTGTTTATTAGTTTAGGATCTGAATGTTATCTCTAAACTTTAGAAGCACTCTGATTTCCTGCTTATATTAACACCCTCTCATATAGGTTATGTTTATTTATACATGTGAGAAAACACCAACAGAGGGGATTAGAAATGTTACATTATGGAATAATAGTTAAAAGAATGAATTGATTTGTAGTAACCTTTTGATTTATCTAACCTTGTCATAACTATGCTGTCCCAATTAAAACAGAGTATATTTTAATCAACTAGTCATTTTTTCTTCAATAAGATACTCTATTTTGTCTTAGCGTTGCTCTTTTCTAATTATCTGAAGTCTTGTCTAATGAACAATGTTTGGATTGCTTGGATTTTCATTTTAAGTTCAACTCTTACTACAAATTCATTGCTATCAGATACCTATAGTCGCATATTTTTCTCCTTAATATTTCTGGGATCTTTAATATTCCTCGGTTTATCTCCCATTTCTCCCACAAATAAGGAAAAAAATCTTTCACTCTCTTATTTATTCACAGTGTATCTAGGAGTCAAGCAAATGGACAGAAAATACCTGTTCAATCTAGTGATAGGCAGAAGGCTCTGAGGTAGGGTCCGTTTGGCCTTTTCGATGCCAATGTGGGTGGAGCATAGTTTGAGAGGGGGAAGTGTGAGTGAATTTGGGTCAGAGATGGCCAGAGCTAGGCCCTGTTTAAAGATTTTATTTATTTATTTTTTTCCCCCAAAGCCCAGTAGATAGTTGTGTGTCATAGCTGCACATCCTTCTAGTTGCTGTATGTGGGACGCGGCCTCAGCATGGCCGGAGAAGCAGCGCGTCGGTGCGAGCCCGGGATCCGAACCCGGGTCGCCAGCAGTGGAGCGCGCTCACTTAACCACCAAGCCACGGGGCCGGCCCTAGGCCCTGTTTAGAAGTTTGGCTTTTATTCCAAGTGCAATAAGAAGTCATTGGGTGGCTCTCAACAGAGTAGTGATTGTCTGATTTATGCTTTAAATCTCACTCTGGTTTCTGTGTGAATCGTGGGAGCAGAAAGGAGGCAAGAATGGATGCAGGGAGACCGAATAGAAGGCTGTTACATAATTCCAGATGGGAGCTGATGGTAGGTTAGATTAGGGTGGTGTCAATGGAAATGGAGAGAAGTGGACAGCATGGGATATGTTTTGGAGGTGTAACTGACAAAAGTTGCTAATGGATTGGATGTGGGGGATAGAAGTGAAAAGGACACGTAAAGGATGACTTCTAGCTTTTGGGTTTGTTCTGCTGGGTTGGTGGTGCTGTGATTTTCTAAGACAGGGACAACTAGAGGAGAGGAAAACATTGGGGGAGAATGGAATTAAGACTTCTGTTTTGGCTTTCTGAAATCTGAGGTGCTTATTTGCCTTCCACATGTATCTGCAATGTATATGAATGAAGTTGATGAGTTTGGAGCTTCGTAGAGTTAGGTCGGGGATAGAGACATGATAAGAATTTGGAAGTCATCAGTATATAGATGGTATTTAAAGCCATGGGACTGAATGAAATTACCTTGTCATCTTCTCTTACCTATACCTTATCCCTCCCCTACCGTGTAAAATTATGCCCACATTATATATTTCAGGTATATATTTTAATTGTAGTAGCTACAATAGTTTGGTGTTAGTTATCTTGTTTTTAGTAAAATATTCTGATTTCTTTTGCCTGTTTATTGCTAAGTGGTTTAAGGGTATTCAATCACTATTATCTGTATTTAACTGGAGATCTAACAGTTACATGTGTTTTTTTGTAGGCAAAGTCATTAATAAAGATTTGAGACATTACCTGAGTCTTCAGTTTCAGAAAGGATCAATTGACCACAAACTGCAGCAAGTGATCAGAGATAATCTCTACTTGAGAACCATTCCATGTAAGTATGAGATGGAATAAAAGAAATGAGGTCAAAATATCCTATTTAACTAATCAAATGCTAGAAACAATTCAGTAGAGTATCTCCTATGAAACTGTGAAGATGAAGCTGGGGCACTAGAATGAAACAAGAATTGGCTAAGGAGAAAAATTTTCAGAGGACTTGTGAGGGTTTTGTTTTTAAAAGTAGAAAAACAAGAAGATTCTATATTGTGAATTTTTAAAGTCATTAGACTTTTAAGAATTTAAGACTATGTATGTGCATGTTGCAAACTAGATTTTATTCCTATAAATTGATTTCTAAAGCCTATGCAGTAAGAAGACTTTTTTGCTCTCAATGCCTTGTACGCTGAGAACAAATGTTTTTGTATTGATTATTAAGACATTATTAATTTTAAAATCTGCTCCTTCCCCAAAGGAAAAAAGAAAGAAGCATGCAATGCCTTCTTTGTGGTAATCCATTTTGAATTTTTATCTAGATGTTGGTATATCTATTCCAGCCTTAATAGCTTTCGTAGGAAATGTAACGGTGTTTTGAGTTTCTTTTTTTTTTTTAACACATAACAAGAATTCATGTATGTTTAAGTTTTGGTTTTAGTTAGTGCAGGTCTGGGGAAGAATAAAAAGTGGTAAACAATAAAAGAGCATAAAAGGACATTCTTGTTTGTTTTTCCTTTCAATATATTTGTAAGTGCTTATGGATACCAGCTTTTATAATTGTCCTGGAATTCTTGATTTCTTTTTCTTGTTATTTACTCTTACACCATGTCCAGTCCATCAGCAAGCCTTCCTAATGATGCTTCTTAAATATCTATCCCTCTTCACTGCCTTAGACCTTTACCCTTTCTTGCTTGGACTATATATTTTTTAAACAATAAATAGCATTATGTAGTGGCAAAGAGCTAGTTAAACTGACTTCAAAATCTTGATTCTAGCATCTTACTGGTTGCTTCACTTTGGGCAAGTTACTTAATTTTCCTGAGCCTCAGACTCTCCATATATAAAATGTGAATAACAAGACTCACCTCATATAGTTGTTATTAGAGTTAAAATGAGACTGTGAATATAAACCACTTGGCCTAGAGTAGGCGCTCAAGCAGTGTTTGCCCCTTCCCCGTGCCACTGCATCCCCTGCCTCCTGTGTCTCCTCAGTCTGCTCTGTCTTTAAAGTGCACGTCTGATTCTTGTCCATCTATAGTTTATCCTTCAAAGACTCCCAGTGACTACCGGTCTAGACTTGTTAACATGGTATAAAATATTTTGTTTTTTTGTTTTAAAGTGTGACTTCTTATATATGATTTCCTCCTGTAAATCCACCTTGCTAGATTTCAGAATTGCAACTCCCGCCTTCTTTTCTTTGCATTTGCCTTATATCTTTGTCCATCTTTTTATTCTTTTATCTTTCAAAATTTCTTTGTTTTATTAATAGTGTTGGACTTTGTAGCCAATGTGAAACTTTCTTCATATTTATTGATGTGTTCAATATCTTTAGTCTCAGTTTTGTCATGTTTTTCTATTTTACCCATATACAAGTCTTTTATATAAAAAGTCTTTCACTATGTATCTGTTTTATTTGATCTCTCTCTTTCTGGGAAGGTTTATGTCCTTATTCTAATGGCTACCTTTTATACCTTTATATAATACTCTTTGTTCCTCCTCCCTCCCTTTTTTATTTTTGCTCCAAATATAAGCAATATTAAAATTACCTAGTCATCTCTTCTTTCCCCTTCCCTTTCTCCCTCCCATCGTCTGACTTGAAGTAATATCTTTTCTTTTTTTTTTTTTTGGTGAGGAAGATTGTCCCTGAGCTAACATATGTTGCCAATCTTCCCCTTTTTGCTTGAGGAAGATTGTCCCTTAGCTAACATCTGTGCCAGTCTTCCTCTATTTTGTATGGGGGATGCCACCACAGCATGGCTTGATGAGCTGTGTGTAGATCCACGCCTGGGATCTGAACCCATGAACCGTGGGCTGCCGAAGCAGAGCATGCGAGCCTAACCACTATGCCACCAAGCTGGCCCCAGAAGTAACATCTTTTTACTACCAACAAATGTAATCAGTGAGCTTATTCTACTTTGCGTATGCTTTCCTCATTCTCACTGTTTTTTGATACTTGAGCTGTATCTATATTGGCAAAACAAAGAGCCATTACATACTGCACTCTTCCCTTTATAATCATCCTTTATTCTTTATTCTGTGGGTTAATACATACTTAATCTAACTACCAATCATTATGTTGTTGTTTCTTCAATAATGGTCATTGTCTAGAGCTTGTTTTCTACTAGATTTCCCAGGAAGGGTTCACAGAATCATCATAGCGGTTTGTCTGTGGCTTTTATACTTTAAAGTTTGTTTGGATGGATATTAACTATTTGGCTCATATTTTCTTTTCTTGACTATCTTAATTATATTAGTCAATTATCTAATTGTCGTCTGGCATAAAGTATTGCTCTTAAAAAGTGTGAAAACAATCTTATTTTCATTCCTTTATAAGTAACTTGGTATTTTGCCTGCATGAGGTGTCTCAGGGCAGCATTTTTATTTCTTAACTCTAGAGCTCCCTCTTTCCTTGTTAAAACAAGTTAATAAAAATATGTACTTGTACTTTGTGCTGCCCTTTTCCACTTTTACTTGGATCTTCTTTTAAATTTACTTCTACTGTCCTAGTTTTGCAGTTTCTCCTCATTGTGAGGTTTTGTTCTAGAGAGGAGCTACGGCTTATTTCATTTTAATTATAGGGTCCAAAGAGCTGCAGCCTTTTCAGGTCCTAACAGGATCTTTTAACTTACAAATTTAAGTGTCTACAACCCCTCCAAGAACCTAGATGCAATGATGTATCAGTAGCAGCTAGCACACCAAATGGTCACATCTGGTCTCTAATTATCATTCTTTACCAAAAGTTACCAGATCTTCTTGGAAAAAAAATCTGATTTTTTTGGGGGGCAAGGAAAGTACAAGATGAGCTTGGAACATCTAATTGTACCAGAAAATATGTAAATGCTTAAAAAGTTATGAGGAGATATCAGAAGGACATAGGGAAAAAAAGCCACCTAGAAGGGGTGCCCACTGACAAAATTTGAGACAATTTGAGCAACAAAATTAATGAGAGAGAGAGAGAGAGAGAGAGGGAGAAACACTTCTGCCGTTGTCAGACATTGCACTATAGGTAGAACAAGACTGTGATCACTAAGAGAAAAGGAAAGGAGACTACACACAAAGGAGACCTATGATTTTCTCCACTTTCTGCCTGGAGGCACTTTCTGGGCCACAGTACAGGGATGGAGAGCCCAGGCAGAGTACAGAAGACTCTGAGTTGAGGGAACAGAAATCTAAGTTCAAGAAGTCTGAAGGGTCTGGAATTTGCAGGACAGGGTGTCAGAGAGAGCTATGAAGAAAAGGAGCTCAAGCAGTCTGTGCAAGTGCCCCCTTGAGTCAATTGCTGAATACTAAGCTGAGAATGTATAAGATGAGACTTCCTGTGGCCAGGCAAAGAATTCTTGGGGAGCTGTAAGGTTAGCAATTCCAAGAACCTACACAAGGCTGGGAGAAATTTGAGTTCCAACCAGCCTGAGTGGAGAGACCCCAGAAGGGTCATGGCTTACTAGTAGGGCTAAAATAGCCAGCCATAGATTAAGCAACTTGAGACCCGCTTTAACAAAGCTTAGTTAAGACAGCCCCCAAAGGATCAGGTAAATATTTACGTAACTTAACTGTTAGGAAAAAGAAAGAAAGAACGGAAAGAAGAGAGGGAGGGAGAAAAAAAATGAACATTCTTAAATGAAGACAACAAAATCTAGACACTGAATAACATAATATTCACAATGTCCAGCATCTAATAAAAAATTGCTAGACATGCAAAAAAGCAAGAAAATGTGACCCATAATCAAAAGAAAAGTCAGCTGATTAAAAAAAAAAAAACCCAGAAATGACACAGATAATGATGTGACCATACCAAGAATTTTAGTTACTATAAATAGGCTCAAGGTTCTAAAGGACAATATGAATAGAATGAAGAGAAAATGGAATATATTTTTAAAAAAGAACTAAATGGAGCTTCAAAAATTCACTGGATGGGCTTCACAGCAGATTAGAAACTGCAGAAGAAAAGATCAGTGAACTTGAAGACATAGTAATATAAACTAATCAAACTGAAAGACAGAGAGGAAAAAGACTGAAAATGTAAACTCTTTTTTAAACAACCAAAGAGAGAGACTTCTACTTCTGCCATGAAGAGCTGACTTGTACTGGATTTACCCTCTTGTCATAAACAACTACAAATTGGGCAAGATATATGTAACAGCTGTTTTCAGACATTGGATTACAGATGGAACAGAACTGTGATCTATTTCATTTTGCCCTGTGGCACACTATCAAGACAAAGTGGAGGAAGCAGAAAGAATATTATAAGAAATAGGCTGAAAATTTTCCAAATTTTATGAAAACTATAAATCTACAGATCTAAGAAGCTTAAAAAAACCCCAAGCAGAAGAAACCTAGAAAAACCACATCAAGGTATGTCATAATCTAATTGCTGAAAACCAGTGAAAAGGAGAAAATGTGAAAGACAGACAGGAAAAAAAAGATACATTACATACAAGAAAACAAAGAATGACTGCAGACTTATCAACTGAAACAGTACAAGCCAGAAGTCATCAAATGTCATCTTTCACGTGCTGAAAGGAAAAAATGCCAACCTGGATTTCTATATACAACAAAAATATCATTAAAAATAAAGAATTTTTCAGACAAAAAAAGTTGAGGAAATTTTTCATGAGTAGACTTGCACTGTAAGAAATATTAAAGGAAATTTTTCAGGTGGAATGAAAATGATAAAAAAGTGATAGAACTGAAAGGAAGATAGACAACTTCGTAATTATAGTTCAAGATTTCAACACCCATTTTAGGAAAAGTATGCAAAAAGTCAATAAGGTTATAACATGAGTAACAATTTCAACCAACTTGACCTAATTGCTATTTATTAGAATATGCCATCCAACAACA